AAAAGTTCGATCAAATTGACGTTCCCTGGCTACAAAAAGGCGAGTTTCAGCGCTTTTGCTATAGTAAACTTCAAAATTACTTTTCACACAGTCACTCGGGGACTAAAAATACACTGCGACGCATAATCTTAGTTCCACCTACAAATTTCCCAAAAACTAGAATTTGGAGATGTTTTTTGAAAAGGGCTCTACAGACAAATTGTGACACATGCAAATGCGAATCTGAATATTATCACGGAAATCCAGTTTGAGAAAGCAAAAAATTTTTATCCTCATTTTTTCGAAAATACCCGACTTGCCTATGACGCAAAATCATAGTTCCACCACATGTTTCTCTGCTGCATTTTGCTTTTACCCAATCAAATTTTGAAATTATTACCCACTCAAGTCCCTTAGCTTATAGCAAAGGCAAAACCGCTGTCGAACTTCCGTAAAAGGAAAACCTAGCAAAAGAGACGCAGGAGTTGTTGAAGTGTCAGCTCACGCTAGAATTTGTCGGGGTGGCTTCATAACGAACAAGTTTCTCAAGGATGCTACAGGATATGATTCTGGGAAGAACCCTGATTACTATCCGACCGAGATAAGCGCCGTATCGTGAGAAAATAATACGACTTTATCCAGACGGGTACGGAAATCAAAACTTCTTCAAAAGTTAGTGTCTCAATGGAAGCAGTTTCACGTGTTTTACAACACGCTCGTGACAGTCCATGTCTGGAGGATAAGAAATACGCTTTCAGTGAGAAGAAATCAGAGAGAAAAACGAGCCATTTTTCTCAAAAAGTTTTGCTAAGTAGAGCGAAGTGAGGACAGTGAGTCTCCATACAAGTGTGCTACGAAGTGGAAAACCGATCTGAGAAAGAAAAACGTTAAGAGAAAGAAAGACGCAAATCAAAAGTCGCAAATGAAAGAATGCCACCGCTTCACTCGAACTGGCTGAGCTTTCAAAGAAAAATGGCTCGTTTTTCTCTCTGATTTCTTCTCACTGAAAGCGTATTTCTTATCCTCCAGACATGGACTGTCACGAGCGTGTTGTAAAACACGTGAAACTGCTTCCATTGAGACACTAACTTTTGAAGAAGTTTTGATTTCCGTACCCGCTGGATAAAGTCGTATTATTTTCTCACGATACGGCGCTTATCTCGGTCGGATAGTAATCAGGGTTCTTCCCAGAATCATATCCTGTAGCATCCTTGAGAAATTTGTTCGTTATGAAGTCACCCCGACAAATTCCAGCGTGAGCTGACACTTCAACAATTCCTGCGTCTCTTTTGCTAGGATTTTCCTTTTACGGAAGTTGACAGCGGTTTTGCCTTTGCTATAAGCTAAGGAACTTGAGTGGGTAATAATTTCAAAATTTGATTGGGTAAAAGCAAAATGCAGCAGAGAAACATGTGGTGGAACTATGATTTTGCGTCATAGGCAAGCGGGTATTTTCGAAAAAATGAGGATAAAAAATTTTGCTTTCTCAAACTGGATTTCCGTGATAATATTCAGATTCGCATTTATATGTGTCACAATTTGTCTGTAGAGCCCTTTTCAAAAACATCTCCAAATTCTAGTTTTTGGGAAATTTGTAGGTGGAACTAAGATTATGCGTCGCAGTGTATATCATGCTATATGTGTAGGTCTGTA